CCCAACTCCAGCCCAATGCCGTCCTGACACTGTACGCCCGTACTCACGGTGTCAGGACGCCTTCCCAGCGCAGTGTGTAGCTGCAGCGCTGGCTCTTAGGGCGGCCTTTTGCCACCCCTAAAAGGAGCGGTATTTTGCCACTCTTTTAGAGGTGGCAAAAGGGAGGATCAGGGTTGTGGTGTGCGGTTGCTGCAGCCCCAATGTGCCACTAGCAGGGGCGGCCCAGAGCCACCCGTTTGCATAGCCCCTACATTTAGTAACAGGAACTACTTCCATTAGCAGAACTGGAAAGGGCCATGTCTGGAATCTGTTCTTCCTGCTGCAACCCTTCTCTCAAAACTACTCCAAAGCTCTGGAAAAACTTTTGGAGTTTTCAAGTGACAATCAGAAGTGTAGGGATATGGAAAGAGGAAGAAAATCCAGCTGCATCATTGCTGCAACACCATCGTAATTGAGGCCATTATGATCTCAAATTATTCCCTTAAGTTGCTCAAAAACAAGTGATTTGGAAGTAATATTGATTTTATTAGCAGCTACTAAATAAAGGACAGAGGCTAATTAAAAATAACAATGGGATGTTTTCATTAACTCTGAATGGTTAGGATGATACTCTTTATGGTGAAAGTAACAAATTATGTATGTAGGAAATCAGGTAAGGAACACATTTCTAGATTAAACTCCAATCATATGCACACTTTTCTGGCAGTAAACTCCACTGAACAAAGTGTAACTTTTTGTCTGAGAAACCATGCATAGGATCTTGGTGTTAGTCAACTTTTGTTAATATACTGGATTGCTAAATATCAAGATAAGTTTGAACAACAGTTGTTCTCTTTTGTAGTGTATCGTTTTGTACTGATTATGTTTTAGTAAAAAAAAAAGATGTGGATAGATGACACAACTGCAATTCAGGTCTATTAAAGTCAATGTGAACCCTGTGACTGATGTAACAGGATATGAGTTTCATTCAATGCTTGCTACTTTCAATAAATAGATAAAAACATAACGGCTTTTTGTCACTTTAGGATCATAATGGTATGGGTAGGTTTCATATATGATTGTATTATCTGTGTAAATAATTGTGGAATGGTTGTGATTGTTCTGTGAAAATTATCATTCTGAGGTCCTTCGCTAGCATGTTTATTGTGTAGTAGAGAGCTAGTTGTTCGGATGAACAATATTGACATATGTGTCTAAAATCAAAACAAGACATTCAGTGCAAAGTTATGCAGGATTGTATGTTGCAGCATTTTTATGGGATGCTTAGAGAAAACCATGTCATTTTCATTTCATAGAGTGAAGGCTTAAATGAAGATAATTATAAGATGTAACCAGTGGTGAAATCTTGTGCCTGGGAAGCTCAAACGAAAAGAGAGCTGTTTAGTATTTTAGCAAGAATTTCTTTCACTTTGGTGGAATAGGAGAGCAAAAAGGAAGAAAAAGAATTAAATGAATGCTAACAAGGATAGAATATACCCCAAAATATAGGTTTGCAAAAGTGAGACGTTGAATTCAGCAAACTAGAAGTTGTTTGCGTAGATTCTAACCTGCAGAATGATATATTTGGTAGAAATATAACCACATCAATGTTCCATTTGGTAGAAATGGAACTGTATAAAGGAGGATAGCAGTTGTACTATTGTTTCCCTAAGGATATCTAGGCAGTGAATCATAGTGGTCTTCAGAGCGATGAGTCATATAATCTAATCGTACAGTTTGCTAGAGATTTCAGTGGGATTTACTATGTAGGACTGCAGATATCAATTCCAATATGTTCTTGGGTAAGCATGCACAAAATTTCAGCCTTATACAATCATAAAAAAATAAAGAAAAGCAAATTATTACCAGATTATGTGTGCCTCAGTATACAACTTTTAATATTGTTATTGCCCCCCCCACCAACCTAACTTTTAATGGCATGTAGGTTTTGGCTGAATAAAAAATGATGAACTGCCATGCACTAATAAAAAGGAATTTTCCAAGAAAGCATATGCCATACCAAAGTTGCTGTTCTTCAGGGGACTCTCTTGTAGTCTCAAATCAAGTCTCAGGTCTCTACTTTCAAGTCTTAATCTGAGTTTCAAGTCTTTGCAAGATACTTTCAACTCAAGTCTCAAGTTGAGTTTCAAGTCTGGGAGCCAACTTTTTCCATTTTTCCATTCTGTAATGTCCCTGCTTACTTATGTTACTAATGCAAAGCTTATCTGACTTGTTTCATTTCACTTATGCATATTGTTAGTTTTGCAGAAAAACTTTACTGAAGTACATTGGGGTGTATGTGCCTGTCAATGAAGGAGAGTTAAAATCCCAAATAACATTTACCAACCAAAATGGCTAACCAGTGACTTAAAATGACATAATTTACAGTACAAAACAGTATTAAAATACAACCCACCACAAAACAAGACAAAACAAAATAAAAAGCTCAATAGAAATTAATCAGAAAGGTAGAATATTTTCAATACATAGGTACCCACCATATACTAGGAAATACTGATAGGCATGCAATGTCATGCCTAGACACATATTACTGTTTTCTATTTCTGACCAATAAAGAGCAATAGCATAGGAGAGAATATAAATCAAATAAGACCTTATTTTAATTATGTAACTCATGTGGTATTTTTCACGATTGTACATTTCTTGAATTTGCATCCTGTCGTCTTTGAATATTCAGCTGCAGACACAACAAAACAATATGTTCTCTGTGGGAGCTGTAATGCTTAGTTAATTAATCATTACATTAATAGAATATTTTTTTTATTCTACAAAGATTTAAAAAAATAAAATCAATAAAAGATTATTTATTCTAGAGGGCCCATGAAAACACGAGAGACTACACAAGCTCATGCAGAGGAACAAACAGCAAGCAAGCGAAGAATAAAGGCCACCGAGAGACTGTATTTATATTCTGCTATACAGATTTTTTAAAAAGGTATCTTATGTACAATAGGCAGAAGCCCCCAATTCTTAAACCAAAATAACACCATCTAGTAGAATATTTTTATTTTAATCGAAGTGTATTTTGTCACATTTTTCCCTTCTCATACAAAATGTATGAGAAAATCTTTTATTTGCAAACAAAAGCACAACAAAACATTTCCTCTTGCCCTGAATGCTAATGATGGAAGACTGTTGCTATGGTGATGCTAATTTTAACACAGTTGCCTGTGGACTTCATATGAACTGCCTGTTTTAACTCCTGCAAATGTCATTCATGAAACAAAAACCCATTAATGATTCGCAAGGGCACAATGTTCCACTTTAATTAAAATAATAAGGAACCCAGATGCACAAAGTACAGGTCTGTAGATTGCTACAAAGTACACACTGTCAAAAGTAATCACCAATTATAATGATTTCATTCCATTTCCTTTTTTAAAAGGACCTTCCAAATAAGCGCATAATATCCTTCCATGTGGGGCATTTTGTTTTGTGTTGGAATTCCCTACTCTCATCCCAATTTCAGGACAGAATAGAATTATTAACAATGCAAAGAAAAAGAATATAGCCACAATTAAAAAGACAAAAGAAAGTCACTGTTGAGTGTGGCATCATGAAATGATGATATTTTAAACAGTTAAA